TTTTTGAAAGCTCCTGGGATTTTAAAGGTTGCATGGAAAGCCAAAGCTAGGAGCTGTCGCCTCTCTTTGCTACGCAGGAAAAAAGTTATAAAACCTCATGCGCCCGCTTGCGGGCGGTTAAAAGCTAACTGAATGTACAGAGCTTTTGGAACTGCATTTGTAGACATTGTAATCAGCAAAATATGCATGCGCCCAGCGTAGGCTAAAGCTAGAACGTCTTTGGGGCTTGGAGTAGGGTTATGACATATTCCAACCAACTTGGGCGAGTCAGTTAAGTTTATAAAATTGTTATCAATTAAACTAAAATTAAATTTTTAGTTAACTTTTAATTTTAGTTTTATTCTTATCAGTCTGGGCTTCGTACTCATGAGTGAGAGGTGATTCACTTTCTGCCGCTGTCTCTTCGAAACTGTTAAAAATGAGTCGATCAGAACGTCGGGCAGGACTAAAGAAAAAGAAAGAAATCTAATTAGTAGGCACAGGATGATGTTGTCAAAGACCACTATTTATAACCTTTTTAAGAAGAACTTTTAAAGTAGACGGTTTCGTTACAGTACAGGACAAAAAAATAAAACTTCGACCCCGCCAGGATTCGAACCTGGAATCCCCTGATTCGTAGTCAGATGCCTTATCCGTTGGGCCACGGGGCCTTGTGTAATGGGCGGGTCGGTTTTCAGTCCCAAGAAACTCATCTTTGACTTTGTTTATATACTTGACTTTTCTATATAAGATTGCATGTCATGCAATTACAGTGGTGACCAACATTGTGTAGCCTGCGAAAGCAGACGTATTTGCGCAGAATACGTCCGCGTTCGCGGGCTAACATTGATGAACACTGTCCCCCAAAAATTGCCTTAGGGGTAAAATCATTTCATGTGCTTTTAAAATAATAATGTGTACAAGTTGCAGAAATATTAAGGCAAAAGAAATAAGAAAAATCGCGAGAGTTCTTCGTTTCAATGAAATCACTAAATTTTTATTTTATCTCACAAAAGTTATGCGATATTATTTCAAACAAAACGAAAGATTTAAGTTAAAAAAGTACGACCACGCCAGGACTCGAACCTGGAATCTTCTGATCCGAAGTCAGACGCCTTATCCATTAGGCCACGAGACCGAGATAGGCTTCTAAGGCCTTTTGACAATCAATCTGTTGTATAAGGATGTTTTCAAAGTTTTCTTCAGCTGATGTTATGACGCGTGGAGGCTAGTACTGTTGGATGGCATGGTAACGCGCAACAGTTTTGTTCCTAGTACATACAATGCTCTAACTTACAGGACCAAGCGCGGGATCGACACAATGGGCACGCAGTAGGAGTAGAGAAACGTGGAACTTTCTCCTTCCTCGCGCGCCCATCGAGCCTTGTTGCGACCGATACTTCTCTTCTATTTGTAACACCTACACTGGCAATGGAGTCCCTGGTAAACGGTTATAACAAGAAAGGGTTATAAAAAACTAAGTCAACTGGGCGAATTTTTGTCTACTGCCTCTAAAGCACTTGTCATAGCAGACTGCATACTGAACAGCTAGTTCATGCATTCATCACATGCCGTTTGGACTACGTTATAGCCTGCTTTACCGCGTTCCGATTGGCATATATAATTAAACTGCAGCGCGTAATGAGTCAAGTCACAAACGGTTTGGGGGACGAGGATATAATGGATTTGAAAAAAATATATTGGTACCACTAGCAATAAAACGTTTAAAGAAAAAACGACCCCGCCAGGATTCGAACCTGGAATCCCCTGATTCGTAGTCAGATGCCTTATCCGTTGGGCCACGGGGCCTGTCATGCTTGAGCAAGGTTTCTTTTCTTTTGTTTTTCTTTGTTGCCAAAGCAACAAAACACGTTATGAGTATGAAATGTGTAAAACAGACAAAAAAATTAAGACTTTGAGAGGAACGTATTAGGAATTCAGTATTTAGGCCTATTTTTGCATTTATGAGAATACCGATTACTGGACGTCGGGGAGGCGAGAAGCAGGGTTGGTGGCGGCCACAACGCGCCACATTTTTAATGATTATATTCGCACAATTTTTAATCTTGTAAAGGCGGAAACTGAGCTTGCGTTCTTTTTAGCTGGAAAAGGCAAAAAGGTAAAATTTTTCAAAATAGTTATGATGAAAAATATCTTTCAGTTCCATGAACGAGCCCGGTGTGCCTCGTTCGAAGTTGTCGTGGTTCGGCCATTTTCGAGGTACTTCTTGTCTTCTGACGCTTAAGCATCAGTCACTATTGGTTGCAAAGTTTACTACGATGTTAGCATGTCAATAAAAAACCCAGCCCTCCCTCCAGCGGTTTCTGAAGGCCATGTCACGTAACGACTTTTCCTTCTTAAAACCTAAAAACAGGGCTAAAATTTAACACAGGTGGAATAAAAAATCTTTTTTGAGGTATGAAGCTCACAATAAAGCGCGGTCTACAACCTTGGCAATTAAGTATCTCACACAAACATTAATTAGTACCATTATCAATCATATTCGTCATTTGATTTGGAATTAGCAAAAAAAGAGACAACATTTTTTTTGCCCAGACACAAAATTAAGAAAGGGCATTCAGTTATAACTGTTCAAAAGAGCGCTTTCACATGGCGCCAGGGCGTCCATATTGGTGTTCCAAAACAATGAAACGGCTGCCAGCGGAGGCCATGTTGGTGTTCCAAGCCAATCCCGTGGGAGTTGAACTCTTTTCTTACGTAAACGCTTTCTTACGTTCCAATAAATTTGCACAGATGCTGGCCACATGAGTGAAAACGTTCTTTCACGATACGTAACGGTTAATTCTTGGCTTTGGCTAGGCTACCGGGTAGAGCGGTGATGGCTTAAAAAATAGGGTCCATTTCTGCCTACTGGTACGGGTATTAAGAGAACTTCTAAATTCTATGATGTTTTGATATTAAAGAGAAACGTGCTTTTCAAAGTTTGATAATCTTTTTGGCTCTGCTCGGTAGCCTAACCGATTATCCATAGCAACGGAAACCAACCTTAAATATTACGGCCACCTACCACCTACACCGGAACTGGTGTTAATTTCTTTTCTGGTTTGGAAAATCGTTTTCGCCTTTTCATACCGTGTGGCAAACATGCTCGCGTACCATTATCAGAAACGGTTTATCTTATATAGGCTCTATTTGTACGTTGCGCAATCGTCAAATTTTATGATTCAGACGAATTAATTCAAAGCTTCCTATGCAATGAAATTCAGCGATATTAAAAATGAGATAAACTCTTCTGAAGAATTAAATTCGTCCAAGACGTTTTATCCGCCTTTCCACTCGGACGTACGTAGACCGTCTTGTTTAAAACGTCACACTGATGACGCTGAATGCATACATTATTTTAATGTAAAATAAATTATTGTAACGCAAGAAAATTGTGCCGGCAGGCTGTGGCAAGGGTTTCCTTCACTGCGTAACTATGGGCTCAAGTTCGCTTTGCCTTTTTCCTTCCAAGAACCCGCACTTCTTCTGTTCACGTGGTATAAAAGATAAAGGCGAGTAGCTCTGGGGGTAAGAATGTCGAATTAGCACCATTTCGGTTGTTTTTCCGCGTGTAGTCGAAAAAACGATGCTCTCTCCTGGAGGAAAATTTCACTTTCGAGCTGATACCGGGAACCCTGTCAGATAACGATTATGTTTTTCTTGATGTCAGCTCGAATCCGCGTGAAAATGAAAGTGATACGTTTTTCTCCCCCCCCCCTCCCCAAAAGTCTTCTTGAACCTTGTTTCACTGTATGTTGCCCAGACTACTTCCCACCAACCTCAATTTCTTGACATAAACGACGACAACTACGTGATGGAATCCTAAAAATTCCTAGCTTGATTCTTTTACCTCACTAAAGAGCTCGAAAAAATGTTAGCATAATGTCCCTAGCTAATTACGGTACTGTAACAACGATTCGTTCTAATTATACAAGCTAATAGCAGTTAATTAGCTTTGAGAATTTTGTAAAGCCAAGCCCATGAAGAATTCCCTTCCTCCTCGTCGCATTGACCCAGTTTTATGGGAAATAATAATAGAAGAAGAAGTTTTCAATTCCCTATTATTGATTAAGTGAACAACGCCCTAAAAAACGTATTTCGTTACGATTTTTTTCAAACATTTGTATTAATATTACTTTCTTCCATGAAAGGAAAGTGCGTTTGCTGCCTTTTTTAAAACTTACATATTACATATTAACACAGGAAAGTTTCAAGAGGTTGATTCTGAGGCTGGTTATGACCAGTTTCAGTTTTTTCCCTAAAAAAGCAAAGAGTAAAGGGAAACGAAGCATTTCTTTACGCAACCATGGCTCTAAACTATGATTAAAATTCTTATGTTAATTTTGAATAATAATTGATAATAATTCAAGTTACTTTACTTTCGCGGACGTAACTAATTTTAAAAAACACACAGCTGACAACAACTGATGAAGCCTTAGAGTGTTTGTGTAACCTGAAAACGAGCCCTCGCACTACGTACAGGTAAAAGAACAACAACAAACAAACAAAGGGACTTCGACTAGCTAGTCTACTGTCCGAGGAGGAAAAAGAACTACTCCCTAAAGGTGATGTTACACGAAACGATTTGCAACGACGATGTTGAGCGCAACACAGCGACGCTATGTTGGAACAATGTTGAAAGCATTCGAAGCAATTCTCTATTTTCGAATTCCCCATAATACACTCTGTTTGCCCCCCAAATTCTGCATAAACCATTGTTTTGAAATGCTCCTGGGAGTACTGCATTTTCCCAAGAGCATTTGAAGACAATAACTTATGCAAAATTTGGGAGGCAAACAGAGTGTATTATGGGGGATTCGAAAATAGTCAATGTCTCAACAATGTTGGGATGCTGTGTTGCTCTAAGACTGGGTTGTTACGAATCGTCTCGTGTAACATCACCTTAAGAAGCTTACTTAACAACCTCTGATGACGACACCAACATTCATCTCAGTTCTTATTATAAGAGGAAATATATTCAAGTAAAAAGCCCATGCAGGTGTTTGCATTGAAGAAAGATGACAGAAGGAAATCTCGCTGAAGACGAAATCCAGAAAACGATAAAAGAATTGTTTTGCTCGAAAAAATTCACTGGCGAAGTTCACAACGTGCTGAGCTTGTTGTCCGTGCTAAATATTGTTCTCTCCATTACAGCATTTCTGGGCAACACTCTGATCCTAGTTGCTCTGCACAAGGAGACTTCACTTCATCCGCCGTCCAAACTTCTGTATCGAAACCTAGCGATTTCTGATCTCTGTGTTGGCGTCATTCTGGAACCTACAGCTATTACTTATTTGCTGTCTGTGATCAATGAAAAATGGGCGATTTGTTATTATGCAAGTGTGATAAATCATGTCGCAGCCAACTTGCTATGTGCACTATCTCTGTACACAGTTACTGCAATAAGCGTGGACAGACTTCTCGCCTTGTTGCTGGGGCTCAGATACAGACAAGTTATAACTTTGAAAAGAACTTGTTTAAGTGTGATAGTTATTTGGATTGTGTGTATTTTCGGCACATCATCTTACTATTGGAATCATTCTTTTACGGCATGGTGGGTACTTATTGGCACCGGCCTGTGTCAATTCACCTCAATTTTTTCGTACACAAAAATATTTTGCACTCTGCGCCACAATCAAATTCATATTCAGCACCACGGTTCTCTTAGGCAACCCAGCCAAGCAACTCCACTAAATATTCCTCGATACAGAAAAGCGGTGACAAGTGCTCTGTGGGTGCAAGTGACAATGACATTTTGTTACCTGCCGTATGGAATAGTGGAAATTTTGAGACCTCAAATAGGGTTATCATCTTCGCTTTATCTTTCCATACAATTTACAGCAAATTTAGTCCTCTTAAACTCCTCATTAAACCCGTTGCTTTATTGCTGGAAGATCAGAGAAGTTAGGCAAGCTGTAAAGGATACAATAAGGCAAATTTTCTGGGCACAAAATTAATTATTTAATATTCTCATCTGCAAATATGAGCATTACCCAAGTGAAGGTTTCAAAAGAAGTAAAAATAGCTTTCAAGACGGTAAAATACAACTATTCTTTCAAAATTACACAGAATGTTTAGAATTTGCCGCATAAATATACAAACCCCCTAATATAATTTCCTCTTTTGTTTCATTCTCAGTTTTTCAGTTTCATTTTCTCGTTACTAAGTAATGATCACGTTGCCACCTTTTGGATAGATTATCTCGTCTGATAAAGGCTTCTCTTTCCATTAAGGTAAATGATCAGCATTGCAACGAAAACTCATTTAACTATTGTTCTAAGAACATAGAACGGAAAAAGCCAGTGAATTTATCAGTGATAGGTGCGTTTCGCGAAAGCTGTTAAACCTTGGCTCTTTAGTTTCATTTCCAGAACCTGAATTGAGTAATTGACTGATCAGTCCAATGTAGAGTTTCATACCATCAACTGACGTGTACAACTCATTTTGAATCTAAAGATGACTACCGCACAGGTTGTCGAAATGTCAGTAACTGTCAACAGCAGTCCTATTCAGGACTACGATCAGCCGGACGATCATGCTTCACCTACTTATCAAGTAATCTAGTCGAAACGTTTTGTTACCACGTTAAATCAGATCTACGGCAGAGTTCACGTTTTTGACTTGCAGTGGCTTTTAAAGTTCTGTGATTAAAGCGCACCGTCAAAGGAACATCATTAACGAAATTGGATACCCTATTCAGAACTACTAATTAAGCAGTAATCACCCTGAAATCCCACCACAGTCTAATCTGTAGCTTGTATATAGTGGAGTAACCCACTCCTTTTATCCCCCACTCCTCTGATAAACGAAACTGTCTACTGGTGAGAATATCACTAACATTTAAATTTGCGTTTCTAAATTGTGAGTTGTTCGACAAAAAAGGGGGCAGATGTTAAAACAAATTAATTGAGACCATGGCAAAACAAATTTACAAATCTTATTCAAATATCGCAAGTGGAAATTGATTATAACAGATGACAATAACGGAGAGAAAGTAATTTGCAAAAGAGTTGTAAACGAAATTGGCTGCCCCAAAAGCGACGCCAAAATTAAACGATGAACAAATCATTTTTATTAATATGTCACACGCAATTCTTTCCTTTCCAGCTGCGATGTTAATTGTGGGTATTAAACGAATATAATGTGTAGCAGTAGCAACATTGTGAGGATTTTAACTGATTTTGTACCTAACAATTAAGTTAAAAGGTAACTTAAACAATATGGAACCAAAAACAAGACTAGTTCTTTTATTGCGATGATTTGAAAACCATTTTGAATGTCGTTGTTTAAGGGCATATCAGATCATATTAAAACCATTAAAGCCTTCCCAAGAGGTCTTTCTACAAATTGGACGTCTTCTTGAGTACCAATGTCGAAATGACTGGATTAATTTGAGTCGAAAGGATGAACTGGTAAACTGTATTTAGGTAGGGTAGCCAATTTACCTACGAGGTTGTTATTCAAATTATATTTTTCTAACCATGGCAACTAAAACAACTTTTTCATTTTTTTTTTATTACGGCCAGCTAAATTAATGGTTAATCATGCGCAGAGCGCGCGTACTGAGAATATGAATGAATGCAAGGCTGGGGATCTTAGTGCAATTAATGTCAATTTCCAGGGGCACCCAACGACAATTTTCGGAAAATATCTGTTCGGAAGACGATTTGAGATCTAGAATTTTCGGAACATTTGTTGTAAAATTTCTTGCTTGCCTGCCTCTCCTAGGATTTTCGAACATCTAAAACATGGTATAATTGCCCATTTTTAACCGATTTTTACCCTAGAAAGGTCACCTAGAATTTTCGGGAGCCTTTTTTCTGGCTGAAATTTTCGAAAAGGTAAGTTTTGATCCCTATAATTTTCGGATCACTAGACTTTCAGCTTGGAAATCCGAACAGATGAAAAATTTTTAGGGGATGAAAATATGCCTATATCTACCGTTTAAATACGAAAATACGTTCAACAATGCTATGTTTAAGTGGTTTTGAACTATATTCTCGTTGGGGGCCCCTGAAATTCTAGAATCAGTTTCGATAGTTTCGTACTCGGAATTAAGGTCAACCGAAAAAGACATTAGTTTAATTGTTACAACCACAAACAGTTTTAGTCATTTCGTGTTATTTTTCCTTGGAAGTGGCGGCGTTTATTGCTTGTTAAATACTTTTCAATTTTTGTAACGATTAAGACTCCATATGCCCTCGTGTTTTTATTACCCTTATTTGCAAAGAACCTTTAGTTTTATCGTCACCTTCCTTTTACGCCCTATAGAAGGTTTGTTTTCAAACCGAAATATTGGGCAAATTTGTTTAAATATATATTTTTTGTTTTATCCTTTTGTTTACTTCTTCATCACCTTGCCATAAGGATCAGTTTGGCGTTTTACGATTTTCTTCAAGTTATTACTGTACTGATCCAGATCTACAACTGGGAGATCAGGCATCACTCAACGGTTTGTCGCTGTGGACTTGCTGATATTTTATGTTTTGCCCTCGTGGAGTGTCTATTTTTGAGCTATTTTGAAAAAATAGCTCACATGTCAGTGGTGTGAGCGTATGTATCTTTGTGGCTTTGTAACTTTGTATGTTCGGGTGTTTGTTGCAAGAGCCAATAAGGTTGAAGGTACTATTAGTTGATGCTTAGGAACCAATGAGATCTTAGCATCTACTTAAACATGGCATTGGTAAAGGTCGAACAAGGGCACTTTGAGACCGCCATCTTGATCCTTCACAATGTTTTCGTCTTTTATTACGGGTACAGGTGTTTGGAAGCATTACATAAAATATCTTCATGATTCAAACGCTGTGAACAGTGATGCAGCTGTTTAAGGGTTCATATTTTAGTGTGGATGCTGCTTCAAGACATTTGTGACTGATTCGGCTATCGCGAACGGTACAACGCACGTATTTATGAGTTGTGTTTCACCCGCTTCAAGTTAGAGTATAAAAGATCATATATTTTCAAAGCTCTTCCAGTGAAGCAATAATTGATATTTAGATATGGACTTTAATTTGAAAGTATGCGGCCTATAAAATGTGGTTTTACAAGTTTGAAAGGCCGTACCGAGCTTTGAAAAGCTGTACCGAGTATTGTTAATTCTGTAAACAAGCTTTAAAAATATTATTCTCTCGCTTACAAAGTTCAACAGACCTTTTTTTTTTCGTTCCGGCATAACAAAAAAATAATAATAAGTGAACAACATCATACATCCTTCCTGCATACTAAGCATTATAGTTATAGAAACGTATTTTATTTAGTAAAGATGAGTAACTTAAGTAGAAACAACCGCGTTAGGGAATACAATTGGAAGAAGCTAGTTGACACAACAATTAGATACTGTTTTATTGAGTGGAGTAACATGATATGAGCAGAAATATATTTCGGCAGTTTGGTAATTTTCTGGGAAGTTAATAAATGTTAGGCTATCAACCTTGACATGGCATGAAGCATAATTTAATTGCAGATGTTGTAATGAAGCCGAGGTGATTTCTTAAAATCGTTGAGAAAATTTTGTAGTAAACAGTTTGCGTTTTTTTACGTACGAATTGTAAAAGGGCCAAAGACCAACATCTTCCCGTGCAAATCGTGTGCATGAGTTATTTTTATAATTCTGTTTACTAGATTACCGTGTGATAACTCGAATTCCCTCACGTACGAACAACGAAAGGGGGCAAAGTCCAACACTTTCACGTGCCAGTTGTGTGACTGTACATCTCATGCAGATGGCTTTTCACAATAATAATAGTTACTTGAACGTGTGAAGACCTTTTTCGTTTTGTAACCAATGCCTTAAAAAAGGCTCTTGTCTTTTAAGAAGCAATAGCTTTTAAAACATGAAGAAATAAGTTGAAGGAGTTAAGGACTGTTTCACTGAGTAGAATCGCACGTGAAAACCTCGTGAATTGTGATGATGCAACCATCTACCACAATGATAAGAATCCTGGTATTTCTTAACTACTCGAATTCGATGAGTCACATTTTGGCTTAAGAAACTCCGAGGAAACCTTAGCGTTTTCCTTCTAATCAGCGTTTGGTGAGTAGATATTTGATTTTACTTTAATAATCTGTTTAACTTGCACCAAATGTAACAGGGAAAGACTGAGGAAAGTGAATATATAGCATGAGGATCGACGCAGCTGAGCGTTTCGCGTTTTCGTTTATGTACGGCGATACTCAATTTCGCACAAAAACCCAGTCTACATTTAGGACGAAAAAGGTAGATTCATCACTCTTGGTAAGGTTACACTGAAGCATTAAAGTTACACTGAAGCATTCAAAATAGCTCATGCACGTTTAACGTGCCTATGTTTTGAATAGTCGCTTTACTTCACAATATGTTGTGCACCTACACAGGACCGGAATTTGACTGAAAAATTTAGACAAAATTCCTCTCACTCCCACATAGCCTTAGAAAACAGCCGACATTTCGCGACGCCACGACTAGACTGGTTTCCCCCCAAATGACGTTTGTGGAACGACTGCGGAAATTCGGTACTGATGACTCATCACAACCCATCAGGCCTCGGTTTTTCAAAGGCTGGATAGCGCTATCCAGCCTTTGAACAACCGGGGCCAGATCTGGGTCAGCGTACTGTTCATTGTTCATGTCGCCCTGTACATAACTGGTCGATCAGAACGTTCGGCAAAAAGGGAAAAGACGACATGATAATACACGTAGGCACTGGATCATGTCGTCAAAGAGCACCATTTATAACCAATTTTTGAAACTGTTAGAGTGAGCAGCTTTTTTTACCATACAGGACAAAAATATAAAACTTCGACCCCGCCAGGATTCGAACCTGGAATCCCCTGATTCGTAGTCAGATGCCTTATCCGTTGGGCCACGGGGCCTCTTATAGCTGATGGGGTTTTTAACGTTAATTAAGTTGTCTCCTCTGATAGTATTGACTTTGGTTGGATATTGTTTTAGTTGCGACACTGAAGTCACGACAGATAT